TTATAGACGTTAACACGTTTTCTTTAGTTCTCTAGTTATCGCGCTTTTTTTCTTATTGCCGTGCTTTTTATTACTGCGTTTTTTTTTTTTTTTTTTTTAGCGACAAACATATAAAGAAACTGATCTCTACGTTTTCACGCTTATTATTATTGCTTTTTTAGTGTTTCGCTTGCTGTTGCATTTTATTCGTTATTATATATTTTTTTTTGAAATTCTGCGAACAAGTTTCAAGAGAACTATGGAAGGTATGTTTTTTTATATTTTTTTCATGAATGCTATTTAAAATGCTGGCTTGTTGGTTACTTCTGAGTATTTATTTGAAGTTATAGATACAGTTTCTTTAGAGTTTACAAGTAGCCCTTTAGTAGAATTCGAAACTGCAAATGAAAGTATAAATTTATTGACTATTGAAGCAGATGAAGCAACTGAGGAAATGGAACCGGGTAATGAACAGAACTTTTAGCTCTCAGTAGGCAGTTCGTACTCATCGTGGGATATAGCTGAAACACATCTCAACAATTACGCCAAAGCTGTGGGATTCACTTTATGTCGAAAGCGAGTAGTAACGGATAGTAATGGAGAAGTTCGACGACATACATTTGAGTGTTCATGTTCTGGGGAATCAGTTAGCAATCAAGTTATAGATCTTTCTAGACAGCGTGATCGTGCTTCAATAAAGGTTTCATGTTCATGGCACATTAATCTATATAAACAAAAATTATCACCGAATGTGACTATTACAAGTATAGTGGGGGAGCATAACCATCAGTTGCAACCAGATGCCGCCTTATTTGCTCCAAAATACAGAAAACTTTCTTCGGAAATTTTGGAAACAATAGAGTTTTACATTACAAAAGGCAATATGGGATCCAAACAAATTTTACCTCTATTAACCGCGCAATTCTCTAATCATATAATTCATAAATCTGACCTATATAATGCTGTCCAAAGGTTTAGAAGGCCAATAAATCAACATCACGGTGAAGCTCAAAAGTTTGTTGAATGTTTGTTACAGCTAAAGAATCAGGATCCTGGGTGGATTGTTCATATTAGAATAGACCCATATGATAATCGGTTGTTAGGAGTGTTTTGGATGTCACCACTGCAACAGCAATACTTGATC